GCGGGCCCTATGAACCATCTATCGCGGCTAGTTTTCATATCGGTACTTATTCGCGTCGCGTCGTCCGCTACGTTATCCGCGGTCGGCACCCATCTCCATTGGTCTACACGGGTAAGCTCAGAGATATCGCTCAATCTGTGCGCTACGTAAGGAGTATAACGCGGCTTATCGTTCCTTATCCAATGAAGCGCGGTTTTCGAATCCGACCAGAATATTACTTTATCGATGGGTACGCGGTGTTCTCTCAGTATGGAATCGGCCAGACGCGCGCCTACAAGGTTCGCTTGTAACTCTAAACGTGGGATACTTGGCGCGCGAATCGGAGTCACCTTGGCCTTCGCCGCGGCGAGGGTGACCTTGACCTCTCCATTCCTATACGTTATACGCCAGTACGCGGCCGTCGCGTATGCTAACTCACTGGCGTCGCTGAACACGTGTAACTGCGTATTCGTCGTGTCCTTGTTAAAACCGTACTTTCGATCTAACCGTAAGTCGGCTACCGAGTCCATATCGCGTAGCCAATCTAAAAATTCGCGATTCTCCGTCTCGGGCAAAACGTCATCCCAACCTACGTTAGACCTCCATACGTTTTGCAGTACTATTTTCGCCCTGATCGTATAATAGCTAAGTAAGCCTAGAGGGTCGAAAATTGACATGACGGCGCTGAGGGCCTCTCGCTTAGTAGGTCCTCTTTTCAACGATCGTACGTCTCGCGGCACCCTATTCATGGCCGTATTGAAGCGAAGTTCGTCACTTGAGGCCTCCCATAACAGCCCTAACGTTTTCCCCGCTCCGTGAGGGTCGCTTCCGCCTAATTCCTTGGCCGCGCGGCCCCTAGCTTCTACCGGTACGTGTTCTAACACGAGCTCGCTATTCGAGTTCCAGCCCGCTAGCTGGAATCCTGCCCTCGCTTGCACCGTTACTACTTCGGCGACTGCTTGCACGGCCCTAGCTTCGTTCTCGTAACTGTCCACCCAATCGTCCATATAATGATTCGATGTGATTGCGTCGAATGCTACAGGATAAAATTGCGCGTGTTCCTTAGCGTTCAAGTTTCTAACGCTATGCGCCAGGAAAGGGGAACTTCGAGCACCGAAAATCATCGAAGTCATTTTATAACGAGTGGGCGGTTTCGTTCTATTGTCTCCTCTCCATAGGAACATTTGGGCGGGCTGATCGGCTTTGCGTATCTTAATACGCATGAACATTTCGCGTATGTCCGCCGATACAGCTACGTCGCGTTCCCTAAAACGGAATAATACGCCCGGCAATGATCGTAACAAGTCGGGACCGTCTAAGAGCTTGTCGTTCAAGCAGGTGCCGTTAACAGTGGCGGCGGCGTCGTGCACTAAGCGCAATTTGCCCGGCTTATTTACGTTCCGTACGGCGAAATGCGGAAGGTACCAGCCGATCGGGCTGTCCGCTTCGTTTCCCTGACACGGCTCCGCATACCCCTTGTCTAAGAGGTTCTGCACCTGCGCTTCGTATTCGCGTTTAAATTCCGGCGACGCGTCCATTTTCCGTTCGATTGTTCGCAGCCTGCGGAGCGCCATATCGTAGCTCGGCGGCATGACAACTACGTCGTCTTTCCACGGCAGCCCTACCTCGAACTGGTGGCCTATTCGCTTCGCGGTTCGCGCGAATATGTCGAGCGCTCTCTCTTCGCTGCGCGATGGCTTCGCTATTTTAGAAATCCCTATACTATCTATAGCGAAGTGTTGTTTCATACGATCCTCGAGCCGTTCGTCGAGATCGTTACAAGTGCGCGATATGTCCGCTCGGTATGTATATGCATGAAAGACGTTTTCGTTCGCGGTCGAGTTAATAACTTTCGGTACCGTTCCGTGTACCGTCCAGCCCAAGCTCGTGAGGGAAGCAACCGGTTCGCGGCGCCCTCCTACCAATAACTGACGCGACACGATCAAGTGCCAGTTATCGGCCCCTACCAAGATGCCTGGTTTCACGTTATTGTAGCAAACTTCCGACCTATCGAGACCTCGTAAGTGCGCGTATTCTAAGCACGACGAGTCTATAGTCTGTCTCGCTAATTTCAAGTTATGTACGGTTCGCGCAATAACTTTGTGACTTTCACCCGACTTTCCACATATACTTAACTCTACGGCCTTACTAGTCGGTTCGCTCTGACTAGACCCTAGTCCGTGAATACGTAATTTTCGCGTGGGCCCGTCGGCCCCTATACGGTCCGCTATTTCCGCGTCTATCAGAGTGACGGTCGATCCCTCGTCAAGAAGAGCGTACGTATTCGCGCGTTGCCCGTTAGGCCCTATCACGCTAACTGGACACACCTTCAGCAAGACCGATCCGCTGTTCTCCTTGACTAACACCGACGTATTGAGAACCGTCTCGACCTTCGGTGTCTCGGGTTTCGATACCGGCTTACGCTGCGTGTGCAACAAAGCGTGGTGCGGGGAGTCGCATCCGTCGACTCCGCACGACTTTGCCCTACAGTTGAAGCGGCGATGTTTCTCTATTAGGCACTTGAAGCACACGTACGCCTCCTTGGCCCACTTCCAACGGTCCTCCACCGTCATGGCTGAGAACTTCCAACACCGCGGGACCGAGTGATTGCCGCCGCAACAAAGGCAAACCGATTTCCTTGGCTCCTTGTTTTCCGCGGTGGCGTTGTACACGTTCTTACGTTCGGGGCGGCGCGTACGCGGTGGGCGGGGCTTAGGGTCGTGCCTCGCTGGCGCTGTTTCTTTTGCGGCCGAGTGCAAATACCGGATCGCCAGGTCCCCTTCGCGCATTAGAAACCGTGATAGCTTGACGATCTCGGGTTCGGTTTCCATTCGGTGTTCGTCCGCGTACTCGCACCACTTGGTCTGCCGGTACGTGTCGAGCTTCTCTACTAAGTCGCGTACTAGCGTGGAATCATATAAGTGCCAGTGGGCTAAATTCCCTAACACGCAGGCGACGTTCTGCACCTTAACGGCGAAGCTGTTTAAACCCGTTGCCGTTCCGTCGGGTCGCGGCAAACGCCTAAGTTCGCTAACGGTGCGTTCCACTATAAGTTCCGGCTTACCGAAACATTGCTCTAACGTATCCATAATTACGGACGGATTCGAAGCCGTGTACAGGAGCGCAGCGACTGCTTCTTTCGCTTCTCCCTTCAGGCTGACTCGTAAGCGCGCCAAATTCTCCGCGTCTGAGAATTTGTACATACGGGTCGAGTCTATCATCGCGCGCTTAAACGGGAGCCAATCCGTGTAGGCTCCGGTGAAAATTGGCAATTCCTGCGCCTGTCGCGGCGGTGGACGAAACATTGCCATTTTCTCTAACGCGTCTACCAACCTATCAACGCCTCTACCTTTCGTTCGCGGCGGCGATTTCGGCGAGTGGCGCCGCTCATACCTGTGGTCACGCGGCGACTGAGAGCGCTGACGACGGCGTTCGTATCTATCTCGCGGCGACGGCGAGCGAT